AAAAAATACATTAGAACTTTGGACATCTTTTGTGCTTATAAATTTTGATGTTGAAATTTGCTATAAATAATTACATTTACATTTATATTATCATTGATTCTTCTGTGTCATTGTTCTTTTTAGGAGCCCTGAGGTTTATACAGTCTTAGCTTCAGAAGATGCCAGTGAAGGGGAAGATATCGATGGAGATTATGTGGGAGAGATGTTGGATCTTTACAAAGAATCTGCGATCGAGACACAATCCATAGAAAAACATGATGTATGATAGATCTTAACCTTTATATTAATATATATACAAAGTGTAATGAGCAGGACATCTAATATCTTTATATTAATTATCAATTTTTTGATATAGGAAGAACCAGTAAGCTGTTATTGCAGTGCATCTCACACAGATAACAATTACTCTACAGATGAACATGACTCTGTACGTGACTCGGCTCATTGGCCCACTGCACATTCCTTGACCCAAAAACTGGGTCTACATCAGTCGGATTCTGGTGCAGACCTCTCTGAATATCACGATCAGCATGAGGCGAAAAGTATACAGAATCTTGTGGCATCCTATGGAAAGACTTTTCAAACTGCAGAGACTGAAATTGAAAATAATTACGAAAATGTAGATATGCTAACTGAATATAAACATATATCAGGTAATTCCACTAAAAAATCCTTAAAAGACTGTTTAAACTCTGTAATATATCTAGTTAAAAGGACAAATATATTATATTGATAATTTTATATGTTTAGATGACAAGGAATCAATGGCACAAAATTTATCAGATAATATCACTATGTCAAATGGAGAAGTACACAACAAAGATCTCATCTCTTTTATACAATATAATTGTGACTCTTATAGCTATCCTTATTCTGCATATTATGGAAGTAATAAGAGTGTAATGGATATAGCATGGGACAAGTTTTGGGCTAAAAATGGAGAGCAGTTAATCTGGGCATCTTGGATTGAAAAATATGCAGATTATATCAATCCTGATTATTTTCAGAATAATGTGCATATAGCAGAAGATGAAAAGTCACAGGATGCTGAGATTAATGAAGTAGCCATAGAAAAATATTTTGAACAAAATACATGTTTCCCGAACCAAGCGCACAAAAACTGCGAACTTCTACGTTCTAACTTTGCAGGAATTTTCAATAAAAATAATTCGAGCGACGGTGAGTTAAAAGTCGCGGCAATATCTTCTTCGAATACTAGTTTCTCATTTGAACAAATGGGCAGGCAAGAGGTTAATGACAAAGATGCAGATGAAAATAGGAAGAAAATTATTAATTTTGAGATATCGCCAGAAGATGCTGATGGCTGGAATCCTTTAAGCCCGTTCAGTATAGAAGAAAATTATAATCAACAATCTAATGCAGAAGACGAGAGATTATTAACGAGATGCGACTCTATTAATGGCTCGATAGCGAAAACAAATGCGACTTCTGATTCCATGACAAATGTTACCAAAATGACGCTAACTAGTTCTAGTTGCGATTCCAATTCTGTTCATTCGTCTAGTCTCATTACTTCTGTTACAAGTTCCATTGAAAGCAGTATAACCAGTAGCTGTTCCGATCAAGAAAACGAACTTTCAGTGGAAGATAATGATAAATATTGGCAACATCTGTGGAAAGAGAATTTTCAGATGCAATATCAAAGACAGTATGAATTATTTATAGCTATTTATAAAAAGGAGCACAATATAGATTGTGATCAATTATTCAACAAGTTAAATGAACCAATTACAAATTTAATTGCACTTCCACAAGATAATGTAACCTTCCAGCAACAAGAAAGCATAAGTAGCAAGGAAGTTTCAGGCATTGATATCCATGAAAACCGAAAAGACGAGAGCACAGACGCTGTACAAATTGACAAAACTACATCAAGTAAAGTTAATTCATCTGGAAATAGAAACACAAAAAAAAATAATGCATTGTATCCAAAATCTAATAAATCGAAAACGAAGAGGCTAATTATAGATTCAGTGGGTATGCTTATGAGAAATCTAACAATAAAGGTAGAAGAGAATGAGTCTATTGATACTGTTGAGGAAGAAAAACCATGTGAAGAACAGCAACAGACTACTCATGCCCAAGTTTCAGTAATTACAGAAACCAAAACAGAAACAATAGCTTCCAATAATAATTTCAATAATAATCATCAACAAAAATCTTCTGATGGAGGAGATGAATTTCACGAAGAAGTTCAACAAAGGTATGTATTTAATAATAATAAAGCAAAAGTTATATAGCAGTAGTAGTAATAATAGTTTCCTTGCAAAATACAATAAATCTTTATTCTTCATTTTTCTCTCTCCTTTCTTATTCTACTCTAATTTGTATTATTTCTATTTTTCTCTGTCATTTAGTCATGAGGATAACTGTAACGATAATGAAGATGGTTTAGAAATTGTGAAAAAAGCTTTCTCATTAATGGGCTATGGCTTAAGTGAATATGATGACAGCCAAAGAAAATTGCAAGGCGAAGTTGTTTACCGGAAACGTAATATTAGGCGGCAAAGTTTTCAATTAATGGCGGAACTTAAACGATTGAAAACTACGCACAAAACCATGTTTGATAATGCAGAAATAATTACCAAACATACGAATAAGGTAAAATTTTATACTTTTATATGTTAAATAAGTTGTAGCTATTGTTTATTTTTTTAATGTATCTAGACTTGTGTTTGTGCAAATGTATCTTATATATCTAGTCATGATAGAGAGCAAAGGAACATAATTTCTAACAAACATTAGCGATAATTAGAAAATGCTGACATTTTCAGTTACGTGATATAAATATTTAAATGATTAACCTATATATAATGCAATATTAATTTTATAATTTATTATATCAATATTTCGTATATACGTGTATGCGATGTATATTTCTATGAAATGCTATGTGAAATGTGTATTTTGATGATTATCACATACATACACGTATGCGCACGCGCTCGACGCACACCACATATAGGCCGTGTTGGAAACATTACCCGTGTGCACACGAGCGTCGTTATATCTTTGTTATTTATTGGAAGTTGAACAAAGATAGAACGACGCTTATCGCACACGAGTGATGTTTCAGGGGTCATATTCTTGAAAAATATCGCATACGATATTTGTCATTGCGCAACTAAAACGTATCGGAAAATAACTGCGCAATGATAAATATCGTATGCGATATTTTTCAAGAATATGGCCCCTGAACGCAGTCATATAACATGCCCATGCTGATTTAGAGGTTAGTAAGCACTTGTTCCTGATTATAGACAAACAAGTATTTATCCTGTAATTTATCGTCGGTACCTGCAGAAATCGATGTACAGTCTAATGACAAAGGTTCCTATACAAAAGCACAAGCTACATTCACATCAAGTTCTGACGACGAAGATAATATAAAAAAGATGCAAAAGAAAAAGAAGAAGAAGCAGGTTAAAAGATTGAACAAAATCCTCCCAAAGGAAATAGCTAATGACTATAAGCTATGGAAATATTATATCAAACGATTTGGCCTCTTCAGCAGATATGAAGATGGAATTAAATTAGATCGTGGTAGGTACTCCATATATTTCTTAAAAAATATAAACATCTTTTGTATGTATGAAGTAATAGTAATATTATATATTTCTTGCAGAAAGTTGGTTTTCTGTAACGCCAGAAGAAATAGCGAAAAACATAGCAGAAAGATGTAGATGTGATACAATTATTGATGCATTTTGTGGTGCAGGCAGCAATTCTATTCAATTTGCATTTACATGTGAAAGAGGTATGCCTATTACATAAAAACTTATAAACAAAAACATTAATGAATTGTGTTTTACAGTGATTGCAATAGACATCGATCCCAATAAAATTAAGATTGCTCGACATAATGCAGGAATTTATGGTGTAGACGATAGAATAGAATTTATTATTGGAGATTTCCTGCAGTTAGCACCACAATTGGTTGCGGATGTTGTATTTTTAAGTCCACCGTGGGGCGGTCCTGATTATATAAAAAGGAAAGTGTTCAATCTTGAAAATATCATGTCTCCCGTTGGTGGGGAAAGTGTATTTAAAGCAGCAAAGGAAATTACACAACATGTGGCCTATTACCTACCCAGAAATTCAGATCCTCTACAGGTAAACAATTTTGACTTAATATAATATAATTAATAATTTAATTGCAACTATATGATAAGGTTTGTTCGCGTTGCTTGAACTTTTTGCGCTCAGCATCTTCGCTTTCACTCTCTTCAACATTCGAATATATATTTATCTCGTTTTAAGTGCAAAAATTTTTGGGAATTTCAAGCAATGCGAACAAACCTATAGCTAATACTTGCGTATGAAGAAAAGAAATATCCTTTTTTGTTGCATATTTGTCAAATATAAATAAAATTACAGATTATCAAATTAGCTGAAAAGTATGGTAAGGTGGAACTTCAGCAAAATATGCTCAATGGCAGGTTTACAGCATGTACAGCTTATTACGGTGAATTGGCCAGAGTATAATTTAAAAGAAGAATGAAGAAAAGAAATCTCTCAAATTTACATTTCAGTTATATCAGTTGTTTTTACTTGGTTTTATCAGAATCAAAATCTTGTTACACATTTTTGTTCATTCAAAAATATTTTATAATTCTAATGTAAAATGTAATACTCGAAAGGATAATGTAATTTACATTTTATATCTTTCAAACTATTACTTTACATTTAGACTATTACATTTTTTATGTAGAATACTTCCATAATTTTAATTATTAATAAATATATCTGCAAGAATAAAAGCACGTTTTATGATATATATGCTTTAAAATAGTAAAAAGGAGAACTTATTCAAGATTTTATGTATATAATTTACGAAGAGAATTATTGCTAAGTTATTCGATTTTTATTTTTGATTTGATTTTAAATGCAATATTGGTAATGTTTACTGCAGAGAAAACAGAAGAATGGTATATTATAAAAAATAACTAAAATCTTTGACACTAGCAAGAGAATAATAATGGTTATAGAGATCATTTTATTAATTTGACATTAATTATCAATTAATTATTATTTGTATAATTTTATGCATCAATATCAATAGCGGTCACATTTGTTTCTTCAATATCACTGGTTGTCATGCAGGTGTTTTCAATATCAATGCTTCTCGCACTTCTTTCCTCAGGTTCTGCGGGTATTGTTATACCACCAGTGTCTATGCTTTCTTCCTCTTCTCTAGGAATTTTTAAAAAGCAATGCATCGTCTCATCATCCTCTTGCTCAATTGTAGAATCAGTTTTGTTTAAACTTTCTCTTGTTGATAATGAACCCTCGAGATGTTTTGATGGTATTTGTATTGTGATTGTTTGTGAAGTGCCATCAGCAGATGTTGAGGAAGACATCAAATTAGCTTCTAATGTATCTCCATCTTTCGAAAAGGCACCCAGACAGCTGTAAACTAATTGTGCTGCTGCAATGTTACCAGGAAAGACTTCTACATTCTCGCTGTCTGTAAAGTAATAAAGAAATTTAAATAAAAATCCACTAAATTATGAAGAGAGTATATGCATGCAGTTTAACAGATTTTTAGCATTACCTTTTTTCTGCACATTAGATTTTATTAAACCCTTTTCATGATCTCTTACATGTTGAATATAGCTTTCATTTTTCACTGTTTTAAAAGGACACAGATCGCACGTAAATAAGCCAGACAGTAGAGGATGCCTCGATTTTAAATGATTTTTATAACTACTACTTTGTATTGCAGTATATGAACAATGTGGACATTTATATGGTCGAAATCCTGTGGTAAAAAATCAAATCGCTCTTTCATAAGTAAAAATCATATAATTAAAATATATTTTTAGTATACTTACCCGTATGTTGCATAATATGCCGTCTTAAAGAGTTATGGTCTCCAGTCTTGTATTCACAAATCTCGCAACTGAAAGGTTTATCTCCCGTGTGTTGACGTAAATGCATTTGCAACATCGCTTTTCTGGCGCTAGAGTGGCCGCAAACATTACAAACATATGGACGTAGTTTCGAGTGCACGGCTTGAATGTGATTCTTTAAACATTTTGAGTTTGCATAGGTTTTACCACACATGTCGCATTTCTTAGAGGTATACCATCGGGTTACTTCTAAGGTTTTGCGATCTAAATGCATTACACGATGATTGCGCAATTGACTAGCTTGCTTGAAACATTTTCCACAATCAGGACATTCGTAATCACGAGTATCACTGTGCACTCTCATGTGTGTTAAAAGTTTCACCATGGTAGCGCTTTTGTAAGCTTCACATATTTTGCAAGTGAACAGACCTATATCTAAATGAAAATAATTTTGTGAATATAAATTCTTTTAACACTACTTATACATTGCTTTAATTTGTGTATAACAGTGTTTTACAAACCAATTTGATGCTTTTTCCACAAATGTAAACTACATTGACGCCACTTTGTAAATTTTACATCTCGACATACACTGCATTTGAATTTTGTCATAGTTTCAGATTCTGTGTGACATAGAATATGTTGCTGCATAATTTCTTCTGAGGCGAATTTGTATGGACAACTCTGATACGAACACCTTGTAAAGATTACGAAAGCAAAATAAAAATAAAAGAACATATCTCTCTCTACTAAATATATTTCTTATAAAATAACATACTTAACATTTCTTTCCGTTAATTCTATCATTTTCTTGTTACGCATATATTCTAAGCTTAATGTTTTTGGGATTTTTACTGGATGTTCTACTTTACTATTTTCGATAGGTTGATCTACATGTTCGGTCATTAAATCGGGATTTGTCAAATCAGTCAAATTTTCTTTTCCTGCTTCATCGCTTCCAATGTCTGTTAATTGATGATCCTAAGAAAGAATATATTTTATCATATTGTCTAGAAATAAAAATAAGCTACATTTCCAAAAATTCAGTTTAAGATGATTACATTAATCATATGCTCTCTGCAGTCCTCAAAAGAAGGGAAGCAATTGGAACATTCTGCACACATATAAACTATTCTTACTCCACTCATATTTTTAGATTCTTCCTTTGACTGCATACATATAAAAATTAACCATTTTATACTACATTATAGATTTCTTATGTTTATTAAAATTATGAATTATAGTATTTAAATTCAGATTATTTACCTCAATATCTATAGTAGAATTTAGATGCATTTTTTGAATATGGCTTAATAATTGAATTTTATTTTGAGTTATATAAGCACATATCTTGCATTTAAAAGCAGTTACAATTTCTACAAAATCATCAACATTAACATTATCATCCTCTATAACAAAATCTTTCCTTGCTTCTTCTGTAGTAACTTCATATTGTTCTTCAGAATGTTCATTTTTAACCATTATATTTCCATTAGTGATATATTCGTTCCCACAATTTTCCACATCCTTTGATACTAAGAGTGCTTTTTCCTGAAAATCTGTCTGTTCCATAATCTGATTTGTGTCCAATTCTTGAAGCACTCCATTTTGAAACGCATACACTTGCCCATTCAAATAAACCAAAGAAATTGACTCTTGTTCGTTTTCCAGCTTAGTTTCCTTCATAATATCATCTGTATTTTGCTCTTCATTAAATGTATCTTTTATCATGTCCATCGAATACGGCGCAATTTTGTAAATATATTTTGTGCCATTTATATCACAACTCAAATAAGATACATCTATATTTGTTTCTTCACTCATTGCTGATAAGGATTGTAGAGTGATCTAACTAAGCATTATAACGTATCGTTTAAGATTCAGGATATTTGCACAATTAACTTTTAATGCAGCTTGCAATAGAAATTTCAATATATATGAATTGTGATATATATAGATATACAAAATTATTTGCTATAATATACAATTCTATTTCCCAACACACACAAAAAATCAATCTACAATTTTATATTTTAATCATGTAATTCATGTAATACATCCATATTTGGAAACGATAACAAAAAAAGCGCACTGTTGCAACACACACACATTGAAATATGTAAGTAGATTTATTTTAATATTCGATGATTATGAATATCTCTATCACAAAATGATAAATTTAAATGTGTACATCAATATAGAATAATGAGGTTATCTCTGCGAGCAGTTATAACAGTAAGACTAGTAATATTGCGAACAGTAATTCAAGTCGGGATCGACATACCGATAAATCGAGATTTTCCTACGATGACATATTTGTAAAAAGAATAGAAAATACACATTCGAAAATATATTCGAATTCGAAATCGTATCTCGCGAAGAACCTCGCGCATACGAGCGTCTGGTTCGAGATTTCCAAATACATTTGTATTACAAAATAATAAGGGAAGATTACCGTAAATGAAGCATTGTATAAAAAAATACAAACTCACAGAAGGAATTTACTTAAGTAGAGACTATTTTAAGATGTGAGAGATATAAAAAAAAAAAAATGACATAAATATCAAATTTTTGCACGCACACGTGCAAACACACACATTATCACGTGATCATATATAGTGTGTGATATACGTATATATAATCGTATATATAATCGCGCGTCGAACTGCTTGTTTATAGTAGTTCTCATATATTTTTTTCCTCGCGATTAAGCGGATTCTCTCTATATTCTCCGATAACAGATAAGAAAATAATTGGAAAAATATGTAGAGTAATTTATTTAGGCGAGTATAAAAATAAAAAGATAAGATAGCGAATCTGATTGGCTACATCATGTTATTACACCCCTTTTACTCGCTTTCTCATCTGATCATGCGTACATTGATATTTTCATGTGAAGTAGAGGGAGAGCAACGCAGGAATTAAGTTTACTGAGGTTACAGGTTGGGGAGATTTAAGAGAAATTTATTAAGAGGAATTGGTTCCGATGAAAAAAATACCGAATTTCAACTGTATAAACAATAACAAATCAATGACAACAAAGAAGGTACATTAATATAGATTGCATTAAAATTATCGACAATGATTTTGCTGACACTTGTATATTTTTTTTTTTTCAGGAACACATTAAGCAAACACGTCTCAGCATTGACGATCGTGTTAAAATTTTAGAACGTCTTGATAAAGGAGAGAAAGGTGTGATTCTAGCACAGGAGTATAAAGTATCTACGTCGGCAATAGCAAACATAAAGAAATCGAAAGAAAATTTGTTGAAACAAAGAAGTTCACTTATTATGTGTCAAGGAAAAACGTCCAAAAAAAGATGCACAGGTGTTGAAAATAGTCGTCTTGATCAAATGTTGTATGAATGGTATCTCCAGGAAAAAAACATAGGGATTCGTGTCACAGGACCAATGTTGCGAAGGAAGGCATTGGAATTAAATAAAATACTTAACGGTCCAGAGACTTTCAAAGCTTCTACAGGATTTTTGAATAAATTTAAAGAAAGACATGACATTATTTTATCAGTTCGTGGAGAGAAAGACACTGATGGAGAAAAAGACTCTACTGTTCAAGATGCAAGCGATGACTTGTGTCAAGAATTGACCAATGATCATGAAAAACAAGACGACTGGGAAATATTAAATCAAGTGGTCTTGCCTGAAAACTATGAAGATGACATCGATCATGAAGGAAATGAAGAAATAGAAATAGAAATAGAAAATAAAGAGTATTTAGATGACAATAATTCTGAGAATGATATTACAGCAAAGAATGCTTTTGATGCAATTAATACATTTATCTGTTGGTACCAAAATCAAAATTATTGTTCACCTGAGGATTGGCAATATTTATGGAAATTTTGGAAACATTCACTAGATCAAACTCTTCTTGCAAAGAATATATAAATTAAAATAATACATTTATTTATTTTTGTAATATAAAAAATAGAAAATTATATTTAAAAAAGTACAGTATAAAAAATAATGTATAATAAACTACAAAATCTTATAATAATTTTGCATTTATTCATCACAACATCAAAATTTATTTTGTAAAGAAATATTATTTTACATTTAGTTTCCTAAAAAATCTTAACTATATATACTTGATTAATCATTCATTAGGATATATACAGTATATATACAATACATAAATCTTATATATACACATATAATTCCATATATATTATTTTTTACATTTAGACTTATAATAATTATATTTTAAGGATTTCCCGAAAATGAAAGTAGCTTGTTTAAAAACTTGTTCACTTTATTTAGCATTTGTGTATTTGGGTGTTCTTTCTGCATTTTGTCTAGCAATTTCAGGAAAGAATTGCGAATTGTATTTCTGTTTTATGGCAGGTTTAGGAGTTTCCGGTGCTATAATAGGTATTGGTTCACCTCTTACTTTGGCCAAGAGTGCTTCAGTTCTTAGCTTTTCGCTCTGCTCTCTAAGCATCCTCTCTGTTCTTAATTTTTCTATATCTATACTACTTTGACTTTTGGTTTCTTTTTCCATTATATGCTTGTACTTTTTCTTCTCATGTTTATTTTTTTTGTGCTTATGTTTCTTACATGTACTATGAGTTTCCTGATCGGAATGAGAATTATCAGAATTAGAATATTTTCTCTTAGTATCCTTTGTTTTTATTTTTAGGTGGTCTTCAACAGGTTTAGAGCGCATAACATTCAAATATTTTTTTATATCAATTATTGGATCATTCAAAGCTTTTTTCTTTATCTCTACTTCCACATTCTTCTCTGTATCTGTTAGTCTCTTTGGTAATTCCTCATACCAATTTTTCTTTCCAGTTGCTTCATTAGTATCTTGCCCTAGATATGTCAGATATCCGATTTGCTTTTCATATTTTTCCTTCAGTTCCTTTTCTTCTTTCTCATGTTCTACATTAGGTTTGTTGTAATCAATCTTTCCATCTTCAAGCTCAGCAAAGAAGTTAACATGTTCTAATTTTTCATTGGAACTGTCAATTTTTTCACGACCATCGTACTTGGATCTTGTTTGATGTCTTAATAAATTTATTCTCGCTTCGGTTTCCTAATAAAAAAAAACCAAAAAGATTACAAAACTATAACAATGACAAGAGATAATTTTGAGAAGGAAGTGAATCGATAAACAATATTTTTAAATAATATAATAACAAAAAATTTCTATAATCAATATTTTATATAATTTATTATAGACATACAGCTTTCTGAATCCGCTTTTGTTTAATTGTTTCTTCTTCAGCAGCTTTTGCTTCATCTCGACGTACACGAGCGATATTCTCTTTCGTTCGGACATGCCACCTGAATAAATTTTAATTAGAATATATGTAAAATATATACAAAAATACATTTAACAAAGATAACACATACCTTTTCTTTGGTAGAATATTCATTATTGCCACACTACACGAAAACAATCGTTTCGATATAATAAACTTAGAATCAGTAAGGTTATTTAGATAATTGTTTTGATTTAGCAAAGTACATATAAATAATTTTCCACGGCGTATGACGTATGATTGAAAATATCACCTTACAAATTTGGCGATATAAAGGTAGCTTTCCAACAAAAACGGACATAAACACACAATGTCGCACGATTGGCTATGAAATAGAAATATTTTTGGGACTTTAAAAGTTCTCTAGTTCATAGCCAATTGCGTGATATTATTGTATTTTTTTCTTACTGGAAAACTTCCAGAACTAGATAAACGTGAGTTTTTATTTTTTGCAGATGGTAACTTGTATGGTGCACTAACCTATGCAAACGAATTTCCGAAGAGAGAGATAGAGCTTTTCTCTGCAGGACGCTGTAGAATTGCAGAGTGCAGATATTTCCTTCAGAAGCGTGTGTATAATAATCGAGGTTATAGTTAACCTAAAATTGTATTTGAACAAATTTTTTATTTATATTCTATTTAAGAAGTAAGTACATATATATGTATATATTTGATATTCATAAAAAAATAACATATGCTTTATATTTAATATATATTTCAATATACACATTTATATTAACATATTTTTATAACTTAATTTTAAGAATTGACTTTCGAAAAAGGGATATATTATTTGTTATTTGCGTAAATGTATTTTAACTGATAATTGAAGCTGATAATTTATCATAGCCACCAAGATATATTCTCAATAGATATTACTATATTGTAAATATATATATTTTAAATAATAATATTAAATATATTGAATACAGATTGCAAACACTAATTTGTTACATGCCACATGTTTTTTAAAAATTTATGTTACAGAATCTACCATGGCTGCGACAATGCCAATAAATCCCAAACCATTCCTCAATGGTTTGACTGGGAAACCAGTCATGGTGAAATTAAAATGGGGCCATGAATACAAAGGTTATCTAGTCTCTGTGGATGGTTATATGAATTTACAGCTGGCTAATACCGAGGAACACATTGATGGCAACTGCACGGGGAACCTCGGAGAAATTTTAATTAGATGTAACAATGTCATGTATATAAGAGGGGTAGAGGAATCGGATGAAGAGGGTGAAATGAAAGATTAATAAAATATATTAAGCTTAATACTAAATTTAGTATTATATTTTAACCTTGTATTATTAAGTATTAACATAATTGGACTAATAAAATTACTTTTGTTAAATCAATAAGAAATTAAAATGTTTCTTAAGCATTATACAGTTGAATTCATAAGTGATACAAATGTATATGTTAACATGGTTTTGGAATATTAGTTACTATAGATTTTGGTCTTGATTTAAATAGAAGTTTCTTCCTTACAATAGCCTTTACAGTGTATTCCGTCTTTACAGTTTGATCTTCTTCTCCAATTGTTTCATCTCTTATATTGTCACGATGCCTTTCTAATACGATTAAAGGTTTTTCAAGTGATATTTCCTTCCCATGTAGCACATGAATTCCAATAATTAAAATAGGTATTCCAGCTTTCGTAAAATGTAGGTCGCCAATTAGTTGATTATTTGAATTTTCGGTTCTTTCAAATTTTAAATCGCCTTGCAGATCTACGATAGCCCAATCTTCTATAACTCCATTTCTAAAAAAATAGCGAAAATAGGCTTTTATATGTCATAAAGAAAGTTGTCCATATCTTATGATAAATAATCCGTTTTAAGGTATATAATCGGTGAAAATATGTCAAAATTAGATTTACTTTTTAATCGGTATAATCATCTTTGTAAAAATCTTCTGTGTTCTTTTTGAATTTCTTTTGGACGATTTATATACACACACACCACTTCGTTAGGTTAAATATCAAATACCGCCAAAAATATCAGTCGTTCATAAACTTATACAAAAGTGGATCGTATACGTATAAGCAAAAAGAAGTCTGAAAGGGGTCACGCCATCGTTTTTCATAAGACGCTTTTTCTAGCTGGTACAGCAGCGTCAACTAGATTCATTTTAAAGTCAGCGGGACTACATGGCCAGATTCAGATTCACTTTTCAGTGCCACGGTAAAACAACCGATTGGTGGCACCAAGATCCATATAATTGTGGATCAAAATTGCGGAGAAATATTATGAATTTATTAATGTTTTATTAGCTGCGCGTGATGTTTTGCCATTCTATTAGTATCTAGTATTCTACTACGGACAACGATAATAAAAGTTATTATTGAAGTATTTTTATGTATATATAAGCATAGTGACATAAAATAAATTTTCTTAAATAAATTTTCTTAATAATTTCTTTTCTAATTTTTAAATATATAACGTGTAGAAAATATTTACAATAAATTGCTTTTTATTTTTTTCTTATTGAAACAAAATTATCAAACATTTTAAGCAATATTAAATATTATGCTTTTAATTCATATAGCTTTTTATAATTAATTATTAATTTATTATTAATTATATTATTTAAGTAATTTTTTAATTTATAAATTCAGTTAGATGCATTAGTGAGCACTGATGCACATTAAAAGCTATTATATATAAATTTATATAAGCATAATTTATATATAAATAAAAGTAAAACAATAAGATAATTGATACTATACA